ATAAATCTACCGATTCTCACCAAAGTTTTTCGAAAACGAGGGTTGCAGTTATTCCGAAGATTAGCGTTTGTCACGGGTAAAATAAATACCGCGACCAGCGCAAATGAATCAGCTGGTTCTGTTCTCATCAGTGCACTGACAGGTCTGACCTCCCCTTAGTGAAGAAGAAGACTTTGAAAGCGAGACGTCCTCTTCAGAGCATTCGGCTGGCCTAGGATATCCTGTAGACTTTCGTCAGCTCACCAATCTTGTTCGTGTCGATTTTTCTGAAAGTGATTCACTGTGAAACATATGGTTTCACTGAGATTTAGCACACGCTCTCACTGGCCCGGGCTACCATATGCATGTCAATACCAACTGAACTGCTGCGTTGTATACTACAGCGTTGACGGCCAAAAGGTCGTCACTTGGCCTGACGAAGCTTTTGTGTCAAAAGCGAAACGTTCCCCAGCAATAAATCTACCGATTCTCACCAAAGTTTTTCGAAAACGAGGGTTGCAGTTATTCCGAAGATTAGCGTTTGTCACGGGTAAAATAAATACCGCGACCAGCGCAAATGAATCAGCTGGTTCTGTTCTCATCAGTGCACTGACAGGTCTGACCTCTCCTTAGTGAAGAAGAAGACTTTGAAAGCGAGGCGTCCTCTTCAGAGCACTCGGCTAGCTGACCAATCTTGTTCACGTCGATTATTCTGAAAGTGACTCACTGTGAAACAATGCTAGTCCCGCTTTCCAAATAGGTGGTGTCACTGTGTTTTAGCACACAATTACTGGCCAGGGCTACCATATGCATGTCAATACCAACTGAACTGCTGCGTTGTATACTACAGCGTTGACGGCCAAAAGGTCGTTCATTCAAGCGGAAATTTTGCCTTTGATCAGATGAATGGAATGGTACATTTAGGAGCATTCGATTCGCATTCAATAACTACGAGCCTCACAGTAGCAGCTGACATTGTTCAGAGGTTGTCAAATCATACCTTTCTGATTGTTAACGCTGTTTAACTTTGCGCTTGAATTTCGACGTCCTTGAGTGCCAATGAAGAAACTCCCATCAGATGTGGAGGCTGGAGGGGATTGTGAATCTCGCTGCATTTTGTTTGTATCGAATTGTGAAGTGGTGTGCTGTTCGCCGGAAAATTTGTGACCACTGTCAGAGATTCATCCGTGCAACGTTGATATCCTTGCTGAAATTCATCAGGTGGATACACATGGGTCGGCTCAAGTTTTACCACCCAGTCATTTCGCCCGGTGATTCGCCCGTACAAGCTATTGGTTTCAGATCGCTCCTTTGAGTCTTTTTTATCTAAGCTTTAATTATACCTCTATCTTCCAAATTGTAATAAATTGTATTTTATATTATCTGTGTTTCGTGTGTTTCATCGCAATAGACTCGGTGGATCAAGCCTACAACGGACCTTCGGTGACCACCTAATCACAGACGAAATTCACCAACACCAGCCGGTCGTAAGTGTGCAATTTCTATAGATGTACGAGGTATTCGGGCCGCCAAGTCGCCGCTACTTAATTTGACAGCAATAGGTCTCCAGATAGCCAGGCTGAAGATAAAGTACTGTCAACTAATGTCCGACCCCCGATCCCAATTTTTAGGCTTCCATCAAGCGAAGGTCGTTCAGCTGGTTGGATATATAGCTCAAACGGATGTCGCATTACCTTCTCTGTGTGGTGATCCATCGATGTAGTTCGATGTGATGCGTTTATATGAAAATGAATACCAGCTGATCTCATTTGGATAGATTCGGCAACGCCCGATTAACAGTTTCAAACAATGGACATCATCGAAACATGAGGGTATAGTACGGTTTGAATTCTGCAACAAGCAAGAAATCTCTTGACTACTTGCAAACGCTACTCAGGCTGAAATAAACCGTACCGGTTGCGTTCCCGTCAGAGTTCACGGACAGTAAGTAGGCAAGAATTTAGCCAGGAAGATAAAAATAGGCCACAAAACAGACCTGAATCAGAGAAGCTGTCACCTGGTGATGCAACGAAAACCAGACTCAGGGACATGAGTCATGTGACTGAGGGATGAGTGTCGCTCTAACCTAAATCCAATGCAGTTTAATCTGCCTGGAAATCACTCGCTCACCCTAATTATTGAAATCATGTCGCAGCTATGCTAAACCGACACGGTGTTAAATAAACGCAACCATCCATCTGGCCAGACACGAAAGTTGCGCCGTTCCATTTCGTAGAATGCATACTCACATGACCCTCGCTTAAATAATCGTCCTCCTGTCCTAGTGCAATTGTTCTAGTGAGTCCACACGAAAGGGGGGACGTACTGGACTCAAGTTTCGCTGTTAATAGGACAGTGCACTCCCACTGGGCGTGCCGGGGTCTGAACTCCGCACCTCTGACATGCGAGTCGAGCGTATTACCGCCACTCCACGCATTTGATGTGAGCAGAAAGCTCTATGCCTCGAGCATAGCTTGGTTTTGTTGATCGACTGACTTGCCAGTCAGGTAGTGCCACAGACGCCTGAAACTTTTTGGGCACTTTTTCCAGGTGTTTTAACTGCTAGTGTAATCAGCTCGTTATGAGTGATTGCATTAGCTTTTTCACTGATCGATAGGTTGATGGCCACATACGTCTCAGCGAACCAGTGTTCACAACAGACAATTCATACGCATGACCTCAGAAAGGCAACACTCAAAATGATTGATATTAGTGAAAGGGAGAAGGTCTTCGCTGGCAGTTACTTATTAGGAAACGCCAAGTGAACAGTTACAGACTATTGGACAGGGAAAGGAAACTCTGATGTGCATCTTGTTCACAAAAACTGAATATCCATCTTCTCCTTGAACGCGTCTTCCTAAACTTTCCTGGATATTCATTGACCGTTGCCCAAATGCAAGCAAATGCGACTCCACAAATTCCGCAATAGATCTCATTTTTCAAGAGACGCAAAGCGGATTTACGAGAAAACATGCTACTTGCATGCCCCCATCAGTAATATCCACCGCTACATTGGTATAAGCTCCGTCGACTCAGTTCAGTACTCGTGTTAGTTAACTATCCTGGATCGATTCACACCGATCAAGCTAGGAGGCATAGACGGACAGAATCTACGTTACATCGTAGTGTATTTTACGACGTGATAGATTAGAACAATTGATAGGACAACCTATCGATGTGACTGATCGATCACAATGTTGCCAAAGTCATTTAGTGAAGTGGTAGATCAGACTAATCGATCAGCTACATGTTTAAACTCCATAGGAAAGAGGTAACTCAGTTTCGTGCGCATACCAAAGGTTGATAGTACACACTGTGGGTGAGTCTATGGGCCCTGATAAATAAAACACAACAGTGTTGTATCCCCAGTTTGTTGAAGTAATGAGTAAAAACTCTAAAAAAAGATTTCTGAAGTCCTGAAATAGCTCAGAAAATAATCTCACAGGGGGGGACTTTGCTCAGAACTTTTGTGTGACAGTATATTGCTGTAATTCGTCTGCAAGGGCGCGGTAAATGAATGATCCACTATTGAGACTTATTCGATCAGTACACGCCACGCCATCTCCATGTGATGGTATGCACAATTAATTCTCTAACTGCACGCTGTGATTTCCATCACATTCCAGACTGCGAAGCTCTGTGAACAATAATCAGTCTCAATAATTCACCTACTCCTCAGATGAGGGCAACATATCACTCGTGACATACGGAGTAATTTGGTTTGATGCTCTAGTATTGTGACAATCATGTTAACAACGCTATCTGTTTCTGTCGAGAGAGGGAGAGAGAATGAGAGAGCGAGAAAGCTGTTCACGTGGTTTCTCAGATAAGAACTATGCGTCGTCAGCACAGCCTTCAACTCTTTTGACCTCGTCGACTTCTAATAGTTCACAGGAGTCACGCGAGGTCAACACAAAGATGCGATTTCGCTGCTTTACTTTTAGCTGAACCAGAGGGCTAAAAACGCCAGAACAGGAGGACGGCCGTTCAAACGAGAGCGGTGTGACTACGAACAAAATACCTATCCAGCAAAACCCCAAAAAATTGCAACCAAAAAAGTTGCCCAGTGGGTTTCAAGCGTGTGCCACGCTGCCTGACTGGGAAGTTCTTACTGGCGAGTCGATCAATCGTCACAACCAGGACAGTTACTGGGTCGTCGTTCGATGAAGAGTCGGGCGCTCAAGTGTGAACACGTTCGCCTGTTCAGACGTGAAAATTCAGATGCGTCCAATGTGCGTTGGTGGAGTAGTGGTTACACGCTCGCCTCGCATGCCACACGTCCGGGGTTCAAATCTCGGTACGGCCATTAAATATGCACTGCTCTGATAAGAGCGAAACTTGAGTCCAGTGCTTCCCTTTGATGTGGACTCACCGGAATAATTACGTCAGAACAGGAGCACGATCGTTCAAACGGGATTGGTGTGACTATGAATAAAAATGAATACGTAGAGCTTAAAAACAGCCACGAATCACAGTCGAACGATTAGCTTCGGTCGGGCTGATTCCCATAGGTGGTCGTAAGATTTGCCGAACTTGCATTCACGTTGCACTCCCTTGAATGGCTCTACTGGTCTAACGAAACGACATAGGGGTCTCAACAAGATTCTTGTCACGAGTTGAACCCCGGAAACTGAACATGCAGAGCAAGTGTTTTGCCCTAATCCGTCTTCGCAAGCTGCGTTCAGCGGGGTGGAGCAGTGATGGCATCCTCACCTCACATTTTAGCTGTCTGAGGTTTAAATCTGGGCTCGGACAAGGCTGTGCGCTACTGAGAGTCAAGTGCTTCCCCCCCCCCTTTACTGTGAATTTACTGGGGTAACTGCGTCGGGACGGAAGAGAGATTATGTGCATGCATTATCTTCAGATCATCCAAAAATGAGGAGTTAGTAAACAAACAAAAACTAGTGACTTTGACATTCCTGTCCTCCAGCTGCTTGTCTAACGGTAATCAATTCTCTCTACTGTTTCCTTCAATAAGTAACTTGTAAAATTTCGACAAAAGTCGGGCTAAAATTTTGGCACTACCCGGCATGTTCAGCATGCACACTCACCCTTTCCGATCCTGCTGTCTGTGCCTGGAGCTTTGTCCGAACCAGTGCCAAAGGATACGTGCCAAGTTGACCACAGACAGAGGACAATGCCCCAGCAGATACAGACACATAGACAGACGGCGGACCGGAAGGTTCTTTGCCATCCTTACTAGTCCATCGTGCGTAGGTTTGTTTGAACGTTTCAAAAAGAGCCAATTCTATTCCAGCGTACGGTAAGATTCCCAGAATGTTTGGCACGTAGCCCCGATAGAATATTCTCCATCCATTTTCATGGTAGAGCTTCCTGGCGCAGTCAAATATGGAGGAATACTGTCCACTTTTTCGAAGACACATCCGAGTTTTGAGTACCTGTGAAGAGTTGAAATATGCATACAGGGGCAGGGATCCTCAGGTAACGCTAACTGCTATAGAAAGTTGACTTTGAGGACTCTGCGTTAGCGCAAGTTGTCACTTCGTACGTACTGTAGACCAAATACACGTGAGTATAAGGAATTTATGTCCTGAGGTTAGTACAACAGTATTCATAAAATTTATCCAATTGATTGTAGCTTATGAGCGTTTCCAGGTACTCTGTTAGGATACCAGTAAAAGAGCTCTTACTTACCCATATAGTAGCTGCAAGATGAATTAAACGGTTATGGCCCTGCCCAACGCAACCAGTCTGGTTGGTTCAAACCAAAGGGAAGAGTTGCGCTGTTACTAGAGATTACAAGCGTATCGACCAGAAGTTAACTTCTCAGCTTCCGACCTGCATCGTCGGCGTTTTACCACGGGTCCCTTAGCGTACGCTGGACACCGAGCGGCAGGTGAGCATGTTCCGGCCAGAATGACGTGACTAGTGTGCAGGATGTTAGACAGGACCTAACTGATGGGCCTCAAAGAAAACCAACGGCGTGACAATTGCGTTGATAATGAATGAGAGGAAAGTTGTAGTTGGTGATAAACTGTCTGGCTTGACTGCCAGCCATGACTTTATGGGCCACTAAAATTCAAAATTTCACTGGTGGATGGCATGGGTTTACCACCACATGAGCTAGCCAGGTTTCTGACAGCTGTCCGAAGGCCACTTACCGGTAAATCGTCCACACTCAACCTAATTTCGTGTTTTTTTATTGTTGAAAACCGGCAGCTTGGCTTACTCTGGAGCTATAAGAAGCCTTCTTCAGCCCTACAGTCAACTACGGATATTCCTGCGACAGACGATATGAAGGTAGCATCAAGAACGGGCACAACGCGCCGATGATGCTTAAAACTTCAGCCAATCCGATTTTGGCTCAGTTACGTATCACAAGACCAAGGTATGGCAATGAGACCTCCAATAGCCCCAATTTCTTCTAACATCTACATGGAAAGCTTTAACCAGATTCCACAGTCCACCGAAGTGCTTTGGCGTTACCGATGACGCATTCGTTATGAACAAGCGAGATAGAGTAGACGATTGATATCCATATCTTAACAACTTGAATTCTTGCATTGGATCTGACATGAGGCTAGACTCCATTTCCGCCACACTGCTCTTCCTAGGATTTGTGGAAACTGTGATGTACTGTTAACTAGAAACCAGAGGACACTGATGTGATCTTACTCTACTCACCACTTTATCCGAACGCAGTATGTGCCAGTTAGGTTTCAGTAATATATGTAGTCCACCAACAGTGTCATGCACGAAGGAGGTCGACAGAGCAGCAAAATGAATTGCGGCAAAAGAAGAACCAGACAACCGGTGGGTTCGATTAGTCGGCAAATAAGGCGGATACCGACTCCAACACTGAGATTCAAAACAGAACAACATTCATTCCATACATATCAGGGCCTTCTAAAGTCAGTTAAATGGCGTTGGTTGACAGGACTAGGGGCTGCGTATACAAACCAAAATGTAACGACTGTTTGAAGGTTTACACCGGTCAAACTGACTGTTGCACACCTGATCGGTGAGTATCTCCGAGATACAACCACACCTAGGGCAAAGTACACAGCTGACGTTGGATGCAAAATAAAGCTGGGGAGTGTGACAATTTTGGGCTGGGGTGATGGAAACTGCCAAGCAACCCCACCTGAATAAAACAAAGGATTTGGAACTGCCAATCGTGTGGACAGTGGTTTTGGATAAGCCGAGATAACACAGAGAGGCAGGTGGATATCAGTGGAACCATTAAAAAAAACCTAAACAAAGTTAATTCCCCCTAATCTTCCCGACCCAACTGTCCTAGCACCTCCTAGCCCAGACAGATGAACAAATTTTCAAATGAAATCCAAGAGGAATATCCCACTATGTCGCCCCAACCCCGATGAGAAACTTGAATTCATTTAAAAATCACTTTTCTGCTAGCCCATTCCTCGTAAATGTTGGTTACCAACCAATAAGAACTTTTGACTAACGCTCAGCAATGATTAAGTGGACTGCTTGAAAGAGACTACACTGATCAGTTCTCCCTTCACCCTAAATCTCGGTCAACCTTATTCATTCTATTTGACGAAGCCGTTGTGTCAACAGCGAAACTTTGATCGACTGATTACCACATCCATCCGAAGCCATCTCCTGCCATAGTATGTCTATTGAGTAGTATGGTAGTGGTCTACTGAGGTATATTCCCAGTTCGGGTATTTGGGTTTGGTGTCGTCCGAAAGTTGGCTAGAAAAGCATCAATGACATCGTCCGTTGATCCCTCCACTCGAGATTTCAACAGAGCTCTTCTAATGGTGTCCACAAATCTTTCGGCTTGTCCAGTTGATTGAGGTTGGTACGGCGTTGACTGGTTTTGCGATATGCTGTTCTTGAAAAGAGCTGAGACCAACTGCGTACCGTTGCCCGTTACTGTTGTATCAGATAACTCGAAAGAGCTAAAAGGCATCTGCAGACTCGTAATGGTAGCTTCGTTAAATGCCTTGCACATGCCAAAAAAATTCTGGCGTCTACAATTATCAAGTAATACAGACCATCGACAGGACTCTCGAAATCCATGTGTAGCCGTTTCCATGGCGCCTCAGCCATAAGCCATATATATATACATATATATATATATATACGTGTATATCAGACTCAAAGGGTGGTGGACGGGCTCG